CACACATCCCAGTGTTTTCAGGCTTTCACTGGTTTTTAAATTAATGGAAAAAGTATGACAAAACAAACGGAATTTTTTTTCTTACAAGAACCTGTTTGAATGCCCATTGTGCTTTTTGACAGTAAACACCAGGTAGGAAATTCAAGGGTTTTTTGAAGTCAGTGCATATAATTTCCTATTTACTCTTAAAGAGTAATTTGTTAAGAAGTTTCTTTATTTGCGGTAATGTCTCATCATCTCAAAAGCAAAATAATCATTAATAGTGACAGTTATATGACAAAAAGGATTAGGTCTTATGAGAGAAGAAAGCCAAATTTAAGTAGCTTGTGATAAATTATTGGGCGAAGTAATGCTGAATATGTATTGAAATATGTGTATGTTTGTGCACATATGTGTATGTATATGTTTATGAGTGTGGGTACATATATATTATATATATGTACGTTATTTTTACTGACTACTGTCATTGCTGACTACAACACCTGTGATTATGGTTGTGATATCACAGACATATATAATCATACTGTGATAGTATTTGTCATTCCTTCTATTATGTGGAAGGGTGGTAACAAGGACCCACTATGTAGCTAATAACATCGAAGAATCTTGAGAAACCCGCTACAACACTGAATTGCTCTCTCATATTCTGTTTAAAAAAAAAAAGGAGAAAGAAGGAATCGTACATGAAGTATATCATCATGCCTTCTACAATTTGTGTGAAACAGCTCGACACGGTTGTCACCTGAATTAGGTGTGGCCTTCTCTACCACTTTGGAAATAAGACTATTTATTGTACCGTTACTTCTATTCTATGGTAACTTGCCTATCATTCTTGAGAGTGCAGCACTGAGAATAAGTCTCGTTTTTAAAATAACCCACATGACTTGTACTTTAAGGATGTTGTTAAGGATGCTGTTTGCTACATTAAACAGATCTTCCTGATGAAGATAGGTTAGAAAAATGTTGCATTAGTTCATTTTTCAAGCTGCTCTGAAGAAATAACCATGACTGGGTAATATATAAAGGAAAGAGATTTAATTGACTCACAGTTTTGCAGGACTGGGGAGGCCTCAGGAAACTTAGAATCATGGCAGAAGAGGAAGCAAACACATCCTTCTTCACATGGCAACAGGAAGGAGAAGTGCCAAGCAAAGCGAGGAAAAAAAAAAAACCCTATAAAACCATCAGATCTCATGAGAACTCACTCATTATCATGAGAACAGCAGCATGGGTGTAGCCACCCCCATGATTCAGTTACCTCCCGCTGGGTTCCTCCCGCAATATGTGGGGATTATGGGAACTATAATTCAAGATAAGATTTAGGTGAGGATACAACCAAACTATATCAAACATCTTTCAAGCCCTATGTCAGGAATAATTGAGCTTCTCATCAGTAACTTACCTATTTTCATCTCATGAACATTGGGCCTACTGTAAATGAATTGTATTTCTCCTTTTGCCTTGGCTTACCATCAACTTTGTGAACCACCTCTGGCAAATAATACTAGACCACACTACATAGTTGCTATGAACCAATCTTGTATATGAATTCGCTTTACCTTTTCCTTTCTTTACACTTATTTCATTTTTGAAATTGCATTATAAAAATTGTAAGCCACTTAAATTATTTTGGGCAATGCAAAATAGGCATCAATATATTTTCTTGGTGTATTTATACTAATCAATCATCTACCTTTCTCAAAGAACCGTGAGAGACACCAACACAAATAAAATATGGCTTCTGCTCCAGTTTTGGAAGAGACCTAAACATAAATAAGTATAATAAAACAGAGGTAGGTAAAAGCACAGAAAAAATTACATGGAAATTGGGAAAAGAGAGACATTAATTGCCCTTAGTGGAAAAAAATGATAAGGGACATGTAGTAAAGTAAAATGAGCAATGCTGTTGCTTACTAGCTGTATGATCTTGAACAAATCAGTCACTTTCTTTGTGTCTCAATCTCCTAATCTGCAAAATGGGAATAGTAATATCTTGTATATAATTAAATGAGATAATGTACTTAGCACAGAATCTAGCACAAAGTAAATGCTTAATATATTTTAGCTGATAGAGATAAATTTTAGGTGCTATAACAGAGATTATATCAGAGCTGAATTTTTATGGAAAAATATAATTTGAATATTTTGATACGGGAAGAAAAAATATCCAGTACTGCAAAAATATACAAAGAGAAAAGGAACAGAGACAGGAAATCATTGTACATGCACAAGGAAGAGTATGTAGAAGAGTTTAACTAGATCTATAGCACTCAAAGAAAATCAGTTAGACATAGTCTTAGAATGGTACATCTTCATAAAAAAGTTAAAATGGAGATAATGAATTTCGGATTTATTCAGGAGACATGGGAAGCATTTTGAAGTTTTAAATGAGTACATATTACAATCAAATTAATTGGAGGACAAATGAATTAAAATGTGAATAAAAATAATTACCAGTGAAAGGATTAGTCCAGTGGCCCAAGTAAGAGGTATTGATATCTGAATTAGTGTACGTGCAGAAAGAATAGAAAGGAAAGAATAGCTGCAAGATATTCATAGTCTACAGATGCTTCAGAATTTAGCAACCTTTCGATTTTAGTGTAAAAAAAAAAAAGAGGAGAGAAATTAAAGTCTATGGTTTTAACTGTAGGTAATAATCGATACTCAATTTCATCAAAAGAGGGGAAGTTAAGGAAAAAGAGGAGTGGTGAAGGTGAGTTGATCAATTCTCGTTAGGATGGTTGGCAATTGCGACACTGATGGGCTACAAGAGCTATGGTGCCAATGAAGTTGGAAATGAAAGCACTCGGATGAGGAACAGAAGTGGAGGTAAAGAATTGGGAGTCATCTTCATTGCTGGGCTATCAAATTAGATAAGCTTTATCAGACAGAAAAAAAAAGGAAAAGATAAGAGGTAAGGATTGGCCTTTGGAAACCATTATATTTAGGGCTGAGAGGAAGAAGAGCACCAAAAAGAAGTAATGGATGAAGTAGGAATAAAATCAAGGAAATTTGGTACACCCCCAAAATCACAGAGTTCCTTCCATTCAAATGATGCAGTTTTCCTTCATCTTTTGCAATTTTTTTTCAATTAGAACTTGATGTAATTGGAGTAAACACTTCTCCCAGGATAATGCCATTTAAATTTTTTTCTAAATATAAGAATTATATGCTGACGTAGCTAAAGCCTGGAAAATTCAACAGAAGGAATTTGACTCCATCAAGTATACTTCAGTCTCAGTAGTCATAAACATTACTCCAATTATGAATTAAAAGTTTTCAAAAGAAACAATTAAATCACAGTATATTTAGTGTAACTTTTGAAAAATGCAGCACTTCTGGGTAATATGATACTATTGTTTCTCTCCTAATTCATTTTCTATATCATTTGGACAGATAAGTACACTTTCCTTGCAATCTGACTATTTTGCTTCTGTTTGTACATTTTGCCTTCAGATTTTCTTCACTTCTAAAATTCTAGTATCATTTGGCATTAGGGGAATCATTTTTATTAATATTTTTCCCTTAAGAGTCTATTTTTTCATGTTTAATTTCTAACATACATTTTTAAAACCTTAAAGTAAAAAGAACCATTGGTAGTAAATGATTGGTTATTACAGTGACTTGAAAGCTTCAAAATTCATGAGCAAATGAGAACCAATAAGCTCATAAGAATATTAAAAGATTTTTCTATTTACTTCTCCCAGCCAAGTCCCTCACAGTGATTTTTTTGTCACTTTTTGTGACACACTTGGGCTCTCTTGTTCTTTCCTTCTACTCTCCTCCATTGCCTGTAACTCTGCTTTTGAGTCACACCCTTCTACTGCCACTGTGCTGATGCCTTCAATTAAAGCAAGGCGTCCTGGTGCATGAACTTTAAGTTATCAAAACCAGAAATGTATTAGGGCTCTCCACAAAGACAAAACCAGTAGAATATATATATATATATAGATATAGATGAGAGAGGATTAATTAGGAAAATTGGCTCACACAATTATGGAGACTGAGAAATCCCACAATAAGATGTCTGCAAGCTGGAGAACCAGTGACTCTGCAGTGTGGCTCAGTTCAAGCCCAAAGGCCTCAGAAGCAGGGAAGCTGATGGTGTAACTCTTTGTCCAAGGTCAAAAGCCTGAGAATCCAGAGTTGTGGGAGGTGGGTAGTGGTAAAAGTCCCAGAGTCCAAAGGCTAGAGAACCTGGAATTCTGATGCCCAAGGTCAGGAGAAGGATGTCCCAGCTCCAGGAGAGAGAGGGAAAATACACCTTTCATCTCCCTTTGTGTTCTATCCAGCTCCAGACAATTGAATGGTGCTCATTCACATTAGGGGGATCTTTCCCACTCAATTCACCAAATCACACGCCAATTTCCTTGAAAACTACCCTCACAGACACACCCAGAAATAATGGTTTACCTGCTGTCTAGATATTTCATAATCCAGTTAAGTTGACACTAAAAAAATTAACCATCACAAGTGGCATGTTCCTTTCAATCATGCATGCACCAAAACCAAACTACATTCCACAGAAATAGGGAGAATGCCTATGCAGCTCACACATTGGCTGGAGAATAGATAATGTTTTCCTCAACTCTCTCCTAAGGTGTCCATTTCAAAATGCCCTCCATATAGCCCCTCTTTATTCTGATGAAAATTAAATCATTTAAATGTGTGCTTATGATAACACACAGTTCAGCTATTTATTCGATTCATTAGACCCTGATTTCCAGTTTAGACCAAGCTAGTCCTCTTAGTATGGAAAGAGATCTAAACAAACATAGTTACATAAAAATGATAATATAGATATAGATGACACAGATATAGATCTAGAGATACAGATACATATTAAGTAAAAATAAAAATAGTAAAGCAAAATGTCAATAATCATTTTTATTGTGATACCAATTACCTAAGTCTTAATGTAGATCCTATATATACAATAAAAGTATCAATTTAGCTTCAATGTTGTAGTAGTTACTTTTTTCTGCATAAAAAACACCCACCTCAGAACTTAATGGCTTGCAGTCATTTATTTAGCTTACAATTCTGCAAGTTGGCGATTTCGGCTAGGTTTAGCTGGATGTTTCTTGTAGGCTCAGCTGAAATGGCTTATCTGTACTCCAGTGGGCCTGTACAGACCAATTCACAGAATAGCCGCAGAGATCTGAGAAAGAAAGAGGAAGCATTCAAGATGTCCAACGATCTAAGCTCAAAACAGGCACATCATCACTTCTGCCATATACCTTGTCCAATGCAAGTGACGAGGCCAGTCCGGATTCAAAGGATAGGGAGACAGACTCCACCTTTCTATGGGAGGAGATACAACATCATATTTTAAAGTTTTTGGACCTGGGACTAGAAGACATTTTTTAAAATGTTAAATAAAAACTGATTGAAACAAACAATAGAACATGCAAGTTCACATGACAGCCCTCTCCCCAGGAGTGTCTATGCTACATAATAAGCAGTGAAGATTCTGAAAGACATTTCAGCACAGTATCTGGTGAAAAGAAAGCATTCAAACCTATTTGTCAAATAAATAAATGATTTGATAAAATGAGTTTTCATGGCAACTAAAAAATGGTTAACTCCTAGCATATTCTGAAAAACTATTACATCCTCCAGATGGCCTATCATTAACTTAAACAAAAATATATTAATTTTTCTAAGTTATGAGTTTAGAAATATAAATAGTTTTACAAAAGGCAAATGATACATAATAAGTTCTCACTTAACATCATAGATAGGTTCTTGAAACTGTGACTTTAAGCAGAATGATGTATAACAAAACCAATACTTTTCTCATCAATGTTATAACAAAATAATGTTAATTGAGCACAGCAGTACCTTATTTCACTTAAAGTCTTAGTTTCTAAATACCTATTCTGACATTAAGTGAAGATTTACGGTACCAAAATGGATAGAGCATCTTGCATTTGCTAAAGAGAAATGGACTTACAGTAGACTCAGACCCTCTCTTGAGTACAAGCCCATCAAAAGATAAATCAGGCTGAGCACAGTGGCTCACACCTGCAATCCCAGTACTTTGGAAGGCTGAGGCAGGAGGATTGATTGAGCCCAGGAGTTTGAGACCAGACTGGGCAACATACTGAGACTCCATGTCTACAAAAAATTTCTTTAAAAAATTAGCCAGGCATGCTGATATGCACCTGTAGTCCCTGCTCAAAAGGCTGAGGTGAAAGGATTGCAAGATTTCAGTGAGCCATGACCACACCACTGCACTCCAGCCTAGACAACAGAGCAAGGCCCTGTCTCAAAAATAAATAAACAAGGTAGAAATAGAAATTGGTATGGTTTGCCTGTGTCCCCACCCAGATTTCATCTTGAATTCCCATGTGTTGTGGAAGGGACCTGGTGGGGGGTAACTGAATCATGGGTGTGGTTCTTTCCCATGCTGTTATTATGATAGTGAATAAGTCTCACAAGAACTGATGATTTTAAAAAGAGACATGCCCCTGTACAAGCTCTCACTCTTTTCTCCTGCCACCATCCATGTAAGATATGACTTTCTCCTCCTTGCCTTCTGCCATGATTGTGAGGCTTCCCTAGATACATGGAACTGTGAGTCTAGTTAAACCTCTTCCTTTTGCAAATTGCTCAGTCTGGGGTATGTCTTTATCAGCAGTGTGAAAACAGACTAATGTACTAAATTGGTACCAATAGAGTGGCACATTGCTGAAAAGATACCCAAAGATGTGAAAGCAACTTTGGAACTAGGTAACAGGCAGAGATGGGAAGTTTGGAGGGCTCAGAAGACAGGAAAATGTGGGAAAGTTTGAAACTCCCTAGAGACTTGTTTAATGGCTTTGAGCAAAATCTGAAAATGATACGGACAATGAAATCCAGGCTAAGGTGGTCTTAGATGGAGATGAGGAACTTGTTGGGAACTGGATCAAAGATGACTGTTGTTATGTTTTAGCAAAGATATTGGCAGCATTTTGCCCCTACTGTAGAGATCTGTGGAACTTTGAACTTGAGAGGGATGATTTACGGTATCTGCAGAAGAAATTTCTAAGCAGCAAAGCACTGAAGACTTGACTTGGGTGCTGCTAAAGGCATTCAGTTTTATAAGGGAAGCAGAGCATAAAAGTTTGGAAAATTTGCAACCTGACAATGTGATAGAAAAGAAAATCCCATTTTCTGAGGAGAAATTCAAGCCAGCTGCAGAAACTTGCATAAGTAATGAGGAGCCGAATGTTAATCACCAAGACAATGAGGAAAATGTCTCCAGGGCATGTCAGAGGTCTTTACAGCAGTCCCTCTTATCACAGGCCTGGAGGTCTAGGAGGAAAAAGTGGTTTCATGGGCTGGGCCCAGGGTCCCCATGCTGTATTCAGCCTAGGGACTTGGTGCCCTGTGTCCCAGCTGCTCCAGCCATGGCTGAAAGGGCCAATGTAGAGCTCAGGCCATGGCTTCAGAGGGTGCAAGCCCAAAGCCTTGGCAGCTTTCACATGGTGTTGAGCCTGTGAGTGCACAGAAGTCAAGAATTGGGGTTTGGGAACTTCTGCCTAGGTTTTGGAATACGTATGGAAATGCCTGGATGCCCAGGCAGAAGTTTGCTGCAGGGGTGGGGCCCTCATTGAGAACCTCTGTTAGGGCAGTACAGTAGGGAAATGTGGGGTCAGAACCCCTACACAGAGTTCCTACTGGGGCACCACTCAATGGAGCTATGAGAAGAGGGCCACCATCCTCCAGACCCCAGAATGGTAGATCCTCTGACAGCTCGCATCATGTGCCTGGAAAAACCATAGACAGGCAATGCCAGCCAGTGAAGGCAGCCAGGAGGAAGGCTGTATTCTGCAAAGCCACAGGGGTGGAACTTCCCAAGACCATGGAAACCTATCTCCTGCATCAACATGACCTGGATGGGAGACATGGAGTCAAAGGAGATCATTCTGGAACTTTAAGATTTGACTGCCCCGCTGAATTTCAGACTTGCTTGGGGCCAATAGCCCCTTTGTTTTGGCCAATTTTTCCCATTTGGAATGGCTATATTTACCCAATGCCTGTACTCCCATTGTATCTAATAAGTAACTAACTTGCTTTTGATTTACAGGCTCATAAGCAGAAGGGACTTGCTTTGTCTCAGATGAGACTTTGGACTGTGGACTTTTGAGTTAATGCTGAAATGAGTTAAGACTTTGGGGGACTGTTGGGAAGGCACGATTGATTTCAAAATGTGAGGACATGAGATTTGGGAGGGGACGGGGTGAAATGACATGGTTTGGCTGTGTCCTCACCCAAATCTCATCTTGAATTCCCATGTATTGTAGGAGGGAACTGGTTGGGGAGTAATTGAATCATGGGGCAGGTCTTTCCCATGCTGTTCTTGTGATAGTGAATAAGTCTCACAAAATCTGATGATTTTTTTTTTTTTTTTTTTTTTGAGACGGAGTCTCGCTCTGTCGCCCAGGCTGGAGTGCAGTGGCCAGATCTCAGCTCACTGCAAGATCCGCCTCCCGGGTTCACACCATTCTCCTGCCTCAGCCTCCCGAGTAGCTGGGACTACAGGCGCCCGCCACCTCGCCTGGCTAGTTTTTTGTACTTTTTAGTAGAGACGGGGTTTCACCGTATTAACCAGGATGGTCTCGATCTCCTGACCTCGTGATCCGCCCATCTCGGCCTCCCAAAGTGCTGGGATTACAGGCTTGAGCCACCGCGCCCGGCCGATCTGATGATTTTAAAAAGAGGCATTCCCCTGCACAAGCTCTCTCTCTCTTTTTGCCTACTGCCAATCATGTAAGGTGTTACTTGCTCCTCCTTTCTTCCACCATGATTGTGAGGCTTCCCCAGCCACATGGAGCTATAAGTCCAATTAAACCTTTCTTTTGTAAATTGTTCAGTCTTGGGTATGTCTTTATCAGCAGCATGAAAGCAGACTAATACAGAAATAAATAAAAAAATAAAGATAAATCAGAGGTAATTCTCAGAAGACAGTGGCCTAAATACTTGCTTCTTTCCTTAGCCAAGGTACAGCTGAGGTGACTCAAGCAGTAGGAGGTCTGTAGGGCAATTGGGGAGGAGGTGGAGGAAGTGCAGGATACTTTTTAAGCCTGAAGAAAACCCTGCAAACATCTAAGGAGATGCTCTCAATTACAATGACATAGACTTACAGGAGTCTCCACAACACAATGTGAACCAGACTCAGAGGAAGGATGGTGTCCTCTGGAAAAGCATGGGGCAGATCTCTTCAATCTTGAGGCCAATTAAGGGTTTCAAAAGATTGGTAACAGGATGCACTCAGTTCATAGAAAAACTATCCCAGCCCTCTTGTTCCTCAGTCCTAGAAAAAGACTACTGAAAAAATTCCAGCTATTTAGAAAATTAACAGCTTTCGCTATCCCCACTGCTTGCCAGTATAGCACTGCCCAAGATGCTGGGTATAATAACCTCAACTTACATAGACTTACATAGAAAAATAAAACACAAATTACTTAAGGAGGCTTGGTTGTTTCAAGGAAGCAGACTGTCTTAGTCCATTTTTTGCTGCCACAACAGAATACCTGAGACTAGGTAATTTATAAAGAAGAGAGATGTATTTCTCACAGTTCTGGAGTCTTGGAAGTCCAAAATCAAGGGGTGCATATCTGGTAGGGCCTGCATGTTGTATCATCCCATGGTGGAAGGTGAAAGGGCAAGAGAGATCCAAAGAAAGAGATATGAAAGAAAATCAGGTAGGCATCAAATTTCTCATTTACTACACAAAAATAAATGAAGACAATGGACTATTTTAAACATTTTATTATTTTGTGAATAAGGAAACAAGAGACACTCTCAGACATACAAGGACTCAGAAAGCATGCAATGTAGAAATCCTTCCCAAGGAAAATACTTAGTAAAAAATAAATTAATAAAAATAAAATCAGGTCAAATGTCAATATAAGAGAAAAGTATACCCCAAAATTGCAATAATTGACATTTCCATTTATTCTACCTTCTTAGGTAATTTCCCTATTGCCCAGGAGTTACAGGTGGGGTCCATTAATTAAATTCAAAGCAGTTGTGGATACCTACCTTCTTCTAGTTACAGGAATTAATTCAGAGATGGGAGCTTGACCAAGTCAAAATTGCTAAGATACAACAAGACTCTCCCATTGTCCCTGTGTCTGACTAACAGTAACAGCATCAGGAGTTCTTCAGCCACTTTACAATTAGAAGCAAGATGTGAAGAAAATGCTAACATTTTGTTGAAGAACATAAAACAAGATAAATTTTTGGAGTAATGTATGACATGTGAACCCATCTTCCAGGAAAATTCAATATTGTAAATATATTAATTCACCCTAAAGTAACTCATACATGTAATTAAAATCCTAAATAAATTCCTGTGGAACCTAACACTTTTTATTGAAGTCAACAAGATGTTTCTTATAGAACTTAAAAAGAAAATTCTAAAATTCATCTGTAGAAAAAAACATGCTGGAGGATAATTTCAAAAAAAAAAAAAAAAAAGAACAATGTATTAGTCTGTTCTCACACTGCTATGAAGAAATACCCAAGACTGGGTAATTTATAAAGGAAAGAGATTTGTTGACTCACATTTTTTCATTGCTGGGGTGGCCTCAGGAAACTTACAATCATGGTAGAAGGCAAAGGAGAAGCAGGCACCTTCTCCACAGGGTGGCAGGACAGAGTGAGTGCAAGGAGGGGAAATGACAGATGCTTATAAAACCATCCGATCTCATGAGACTCACTCATTATCACAAGAACAGCATGGGGGAAACAGCCTCCATGATCCAATTACCTCCACCTGGTCTTGCCCAGGGGATTATGGGATGCACATGGGCCTTATGTGGATTATGGGGATTAAAATTCAAGATTAGATTTTGGGTGGGGTCACAGCCAAACCATATCAAACAATGAGAGGCATATGCCCTTCCTGATGGCAAATATATCTTAAAGTTATAGTAAATAAAGAAAAGTGGCACAATGAGATCAATAAAACTGAATAGAATCCAAAAACAGACCCATTTGTGTATACATATTACAGTAAATATGATGTATCAATTCACTAGAGGAGAGTTTGGATTTGTTTTGTTGCTGTTGTTGTTTTGTTTGGGGAGTTTAGGGGATTTTTGTTGTGGTTAGCATACATTAAGAAGAGTTTACAATATGCCAGACACTATTCTAAGTGTTTTTCATGTAATAATTCATTTTATCAGTCCCACAATCCTATGAGGTAGATAAAAGTGTTATTCGTGTTTTAGTGATAATAAAACTGAGGTACAGACGACGCTAGTCATTCTGAACTACCAGCAAACAGTAGAGCTGGAAAACGGACCCGAGAATTTTGATTCCATTACATCATGTAGGAAAAGACACGTTTGATTCCTACCTATATTATACCAAATGAGAAAGCTCAGATTCCTGGCTAAACCTAAAGCCAAACTATAAAATATTTGAACAAAATATGGGAGAAAATTCTTACAAGAATGGAATAAGGAAAAGTTTCATTGTAAAACACAAAACCCAAAAGCTAAAAGGAAAACATTTTTCAGATCATTCTATATTAAATTATTTAACAAGAAAAAGACATTATAGTAAGCTAAAAGGCAAACTGCAGAGGGAGAGAAAATGTTTTTAACTCATATGATTGCAACAAAGAATGCAACAAAGAATTAATATCTGTACTACATAAACACTCCAAACAAATCAGCAAGGGAAGAATAAAGATAAACAATTCATAGAACAAGAATTCCTAACGGCCCATAAACATATGGAAGGGTCCTCAACATTAGTAGTAATCAGGGAAATGTAAATTAAACCAACAATGGAGTAGCAAGTGCTTAACTGAAGAGTGAGTGACTCTGGGTTGGTGAAGGTAAGAGGAAATGACGACTTTCATACACTGTTTGTGGCCATGGAAATTGGAAAAGGACATTTTGGAGTCTGGTCACATCCAGCAAAAGGTTAAAGTTAAACCTTAGACTCAGCAGTTCTACTTGTTATGGTAAGAGGTTAACTTGTATGTATAAGGAAAACAATGATACGCACACATACACATGCGCGCGCACACACACACAAGAAACTAAAATTACAAGTGTGAATGTAAAGTGAACAGTTCTCTAATAAATGCACGAATATTTTAGCAGTAGTTCCTGCTAGTGAGGGAAGATTGTGGAGGAAGGGAAAGGAAATTGTGATGTTCACTCTATATTCTCATATTATTTAATACTTGAATGTTTCATAATGCATAAGTGTTTATGTATCACTTGTGTTATTTAATTTTTTAAGGAATAAATCTTGGTTGTTTAACAAAATGTCAAAACTAGGTCCTCCTGTGTGCAAATAAAACTGTATTTCACAGTTTTGCCATTTGCTGTCTCAGTTTGCCTTCTCTGAGACTAGTTATATAAATCCAGACAGAGAATTAATGTAACTTTTTGAAATGTATTTACAGTGGTTCACTTGGGCCGTGTACTGTTCAGTCAAATCTAGTCCAGCTTGTGAATAGTCAAAGGTTTATTCCACCCCTTTTCTCCAAAACCCTCACTATAATTCTGGTATCTCTAGCACTGTCTTTTTAGTTGCTAAGGCCTAGCCATGAGTGCCAGGTCAGCTCCTAGCAACAAGGCCCATTGATAGCGCCAGGCCAGTTCCTAGCTGCCAGGGGCCCCTTTCTCTCTCTCTCTCTCTCTCTCTCTCTCTCTCTAAGAGAGGACAGTTAGCTGGCATGCACCTTCTGCCCTCTGCCTTCTGCTTCTTCCTGAGGTAATGCAGGAAGTGGAGAAAATATCTTGAGATCTTCAGGGAAAATGCAAGAGGACAAAATCCATATCTTACGAGTGTCTAAGGAACAGACAGAAGGCCGTGTGTCCCTGATGGAATCATGAAGATACTGTACGAGCCTGCCTACCTCTGGCCTTCACATAGTATAAAATAACAATAATAACTCTCCATGTGGTTCTACACAGATAAACTTGGTTTTCTGTGATTTACAAACACTGTCCTCACTTGTATAGAATGCTCAGTGACAATTCAGGGAAACAAGGTGGAATTGGACCAGGTAGAAGGTGTAAAGAGAAGATGGTGGCAGCTCCTCATGTTCCACAAGGCTGGCTGTCCTGTAACTCCTGTGGCATGAGCAGTTGATTCAGGAGCTCTTTTTTTCCCATGGGGTAGAACAAATGAGAATAGATGTGATTTTTTTCACTGCCTTTCCCTCCTGCAATGTGCCTTAGAAAGGGTCACAAAAGAAATCCCTATACAAACGTGTAAAATGCACACATGTGGGCCAGGTGCGATGGCTCACACCTGTAATCCCAGTACTTTGGGAGGCCGAGGTGGGCAGATTACGACGTCAGGAGTTTGAGACCAGCCTGACCAACATGCTGAAACTCTGTCCCTACTAAAAATACAAAAATTAGCCGGGCGTGGTGGCACGTGACTGTAATCCCAGCTACTCAGGAGGCTGAGGCAGAATTGCTTGAACCCAGGAGGCAGAGGCTGCAGTGAGCCAACATCACACCACTGACCTCCAGCTTGGACAACAGAGCAAGACTCCGTCTCAAGAAAAAAAAAGAAAAGAAAGAAAGCACACATGCAATTTTGACTGTCAACTCATTTTCTTTTGGGGGTATTTTCCTCCCACATAATTCCAGTAGGGCTGACCCCTTCAGAGGTCACCAAGGACCCCTTCCAGACCTGCCAATCAGACCTACAACCACTGGGTCAAGGATGTGAATATGATCCAGATCAAGACGATTGATATCAGATCTGGGGCTTTTGCTGAAACTGTTAGAAGAGATATGCCATTTGCACAGAGTTTACTCAGATGGTAGAATATAAGCTAGAACATCTGGTAACTAGCTTCGCCATCTCCTAGGGACATGAGAAGAAAGACAACACAAAGTAAGACACACTCAGAAGATGGAAAGCGACAAGCCTGATGATACTGTGTGAAGTCCCATATCCCACTGTGCTCCTTCTGGCCATAAGCCAATAATTGCCTGTTTTTCTCAAGCTAGTGTTATTTTTTAAGTGCTTGATTGTTTTTCTTGTCACTTCTAACCTATGGAATCCTGACCATGTAGATATGCTACAGAATTGCCTTTCCTTGACAATTAGAATTTCAACAAACCATGAACAAGAGGAGTTATTCCAAGGAGGAGACTAACATTTATATAATAATAATTAGATGCTGGGTGCTTTTGTATATGGTACTTCCTTTAATTCTCAAAAATTCCTGTTGGATTGGTATGAAAAGTGAGAAACAAGGAAGAGATGGAGTAAATGACCAGTCTCTGACTCTGAATCCTTACCCTTTTCCTGGGCTAATCCTTCTAGCTCAGAGACCTCCATCCTGACCTCATTCTTCTAGCATAGTAAAGTGGTTACAGAGCTCCCTGCCAATGCAGGATTCTGATAAGTCACAAGAAATGTCAAGGTTCTAATTAGAAATGCTAGGATCACAGAGAACATGTTAAAACTTCCAAAGATCAAAACTGTGCCACCTTTGAGAAGTTCTTCAAAGAATTGACTAGGCGTGGAGCTTTTATGATAGGGTTATATCCCTAGAAGACACTTTTCTACCTTCTGGGTTTTCACAGTCACCAAATTAACTATCATATGTTGCGGGCTCCACCAGGGCAAAACCTTATCAGCATTTTATTACACGTAAAAATGATCCGTATCTATCTATAATCTCCTGTTTGTATTATTATTATTATTATTTTTTGAAACAGAGTCTCTTTCTGTCGCCCAGGCTGGAGTGCAGTGGCGCGAT